AAACCAATACACAGCATGACTTGAGATTTTCCTCTTCAATAAAAGTATTCCCTTTATACATTAAATTTTTAATATTGAAATAATAAATAAAGATATCAAATTTATTTATTTTATGGATAATATTTAAATTATTTGCATAAACATATGCAAGCATTACACAGTTGAATACTAAATTATCACAGTATTTTATATTGATTGTTTTAAAATCAATGTATTAATATTCTCTTTCAATATTGAACATGATGAATTGTCACTATAAGTTATATATTATAGAAATAATATTTTAGCTTAAATATAACCTTTCCTTGATTTGTTTGAGCTTATGAAAATAAGTTTATGATGTAACAAACTAAATTAATTGGGCCAGAATTATCACATTGATTTATACCATTTGTACACAAGAAAAATTGAAATATATGGCCATTTAAAAAAGCTTTAAAAACACTTATTTAATTATCAATTACGGAGCATATTTAAATTTAACCTTTAGTTATTAATTCTATAAATTTGATTTTAAGGGGTATTATTTTCACCTACAGTTAAATACTGGTTAATAAAAATATGATTACAATAAATGAATTTTTTTTTTAATTTTAAGCTTCAACATGATAATCACCTAAAATGTTAAAACTGCTGATTTTAGAATTTACTTATTTGTATTCATAAATAGGCCATATATATATTTTCCCAATGTTTTCATACAGCAGCGTAACAATGGATGCCCCCCCCCCCACTTGATATACAATTATCCAATAAACCATTTAGGTGTCACCTTCCCTGGCCAGCCTGGTCATATGGTTTAGTGCACAAGGAAGTGCACAAGGGTGGGAAGTTTAGTGTGAACTCAACTGTATGTTATATAAGTGTACCTTATGTTAAAAGAAGATATTGATAATAATCCTAATCACAAATACTGGTGTTTTCTAGTACAAATTTTACTTAGTAATCTGGGTTTTTATGATGCATGGCTGTTGGAAACACAAACGTATTTTTGAATCTAGTTAAGCGAAGAATTAAAGATCAATGTTTACAGAATGGGGATAGTGGACTTCAAATTTCTAGTAGAGCTACTTTTTATGGGTTAATTTCAAATGTTCAACTACAGCCATATTTAAGCTTAATTAACATTAGAAAATATCGTATATGTATTTCAAAATTAAAGGTATCGTCCCATAGATTGAATATAGAAATATGGAGGTGGACAAAACCTACATGTACTCCTTTGAATAAAAGAATATGTAATAAATACCATGCCGAAGAAGATTAATATCATTTTGTTTTAGAATGTGCAGTGTATAATCTCATACGAAAGAAGTTTATATCTGGTTATTATTGAAGACGTAAAAAATATGTTAAAATTAACAGAGCTTTGTAGAAAGTAATAAGAAATCTGAGTATTTTTGTCAAAATAGCTTTCGAAATTAGAACAAGCATACTCTTTAATAGTCAGTCATGAAGTTGTATCATGTATTTATCATTGTAATTATTAGAATCCAACATATAAAGGGTTATAAATTAACTATCTTACCGTTTGGTATTTAGAGCATCACGCCCCCATATTTATGCTTACTAAATAACATAATGAAAAAAGGTAAGGAAATATGAAAGTGTTCACGGAACAACCGTCCTTGTTCAACTAGTCAATAGATGAAAATTATCGAGTAACGTTGCGCTTTAGGCGCGAATTGTCAAAAAAAAAATAATTAAAAGAACTTAACAGGCAAAGTCATGCATCAAAAACGTAGCCTCCACAAGCTGTAATTTAGGCCGTAGCGACTTAACATTCGCGGAATTCGCGGTTACTACATATCCGCGAAAGTTTGTCTCCGCGAAAATGCCGACGTTGTGAAAAACGCGAAATATTGTATCCGCGAACATTTCTAGGAATACAGTATTTTCATATACAATAGTATAATATTGTGAAGTTACCAAACGAATGCAATTAACACATAATCAATGGCACTTACAACCCATGAAAAATACCATAAAGAGGTTAAAATATGCAAAAATAGCCCTTACTGCGTCAGTAACGCAGTAGAAATCTAGTTATAAATACTGAAAAATCGGTCATTAATCGTACATAACATGTAAATTATTACTAGAATTTTGAATCTTTATACTTTTTTTTTAAAATCTTAGTACAATTTTTTTTAAGGTTTGATTTAAATTTGTCGAAATATTTTTCCTCATCTGGAGGCGTACAGCTTTAATTATCATCATATTTGCTATTAGAAGTCTTGTGTTTCGTTTTTGTAACAAAACTTCAATTTCTTTCATATAAATCTCTTTTTTTAATTCTTTGATATTGAGTATACGTTTATTATATGTTCTCTATAGATATTTCAACCTTTATATTGATACTTTCGAGCGTCAAGATAAAGATATCTGGAATCTACAGATTGATTTTGTAGAGATTTCTAAGTTACCATATTTTGACAAGTTCATCTCGTAGTAGTATCCGAAAATTATACTTAGATACCGCAATAACACATTTTGCTAATATTCTATTTGTGCTAGTGAATATATACAATTATCACATGTTACTGTATTAAGTAAATTTATAATAATCTGCATTGATTTTATACAGAAATAGAATATTTGTATGCTATCATTTACTTCGAATAAATTGTAGCAGATAATAATGTTAAATATCTATTATATACCTAACTGCTGATTTCTTTATGCATTTATACATTTTGTGTTGGTATGTTGATTACTTGTGAATATATTGTCCACATGGGTCTATGAACTTCTGAATTTATTTGAATAAAATCTAAAAATCTATATTCAGTTATTCCCTGTAAATTTTACAGAAAGAAACACATTTGAGACAGCCTTCTACCGGAAAATTAAAACTAACATGTTAGTAGCAAAATACATAAAAATTATTGCTGAACGTTTCATTATTCTAGATTGTATGCATTTTCGTGATATCATACTTACTGTCAACATTTTCATCAGTGTTTTCTTGCGTGAACATTATATACTATATATTATATTTGTATGTCAGTTCAATTTAATTAAGGAAAGACGATGATGAAGAGCATGAATAATTCAACTGACCTAATGTAGTGACGCAGTGTGGATAAAAAAATTAGATTGTTAAATAATACAAAATATTTTGTCAGGAATTAAAATACAAATGTATATGATTAATAATGATTTGCTTATTTTCCAGTACCACAGTTTTGTAAATGGTCTCCAGATCTACATCCAGTCATGTAACCACTAGCATCTACGGCATAAATACACATCATCGACTCTGGTATTAACTTGTCGTCTCTTTTGCAATGAAAAAACTCACCAAAAACGCTTGCATTGTACTCTTAAATAAAACAATTAAATACTTAACATTTATTATTCAAATCAACTCAAAAAAGTGAATACTGAATTCTTAATAAAAAAATTATTTTACCATAGAGGAATTGTTGTATTGTTAATCAAAATAAGACATAACACGTGTATTCTGATATTTTAAAACGTATTATTACAAAGGTCATAAAGCAAAAAGATGATTGAAAACAATTTCCCCGATAAATAATATACGCAAAATGATAGAAACATAATTTATGTTCAGCCAATGTTCTGTTTCAAAAATGCAAGAACAAAGACCAATTTGAAAGGTTTAAGCCCTGCACGAACAAACAGCGTTTTGAAAACACTTTAAGATTAATATAGAAAGTAAATAGGCGCGCTACCGTAAGTGCAATAAGGATGTCCAGGCGTCATGTCTAAAAAGTAGTTTGGATCACGATAAATCGTACCAAATACGTCTTTTATATCAGTAATACTTTCTCCAGCAACATGTGATTCTGTGATTTCACTACCATCGCATCGTTTTAACGAAACCATATCTAACTCAGAATACCTGGAATTTTTAATTTACCGAAAAAAATTAATTTCTTTCTTTTTACTTTGAGACCAAGGTTTTCCTCTCTAAAGATTGTTCATAACGTCGTAAAATTGCAAGATTTCTATAAGCTAAACAATTGGAAAACCTAAAATGATAATTATATGAACAGACGAAACTAATTGACATGTTCATCAATGCATACTTCAATTGAAAATTGAATCACGTTGATAAATGGTTTTCATCGTTTTTTTTTGTATGTTTGTTTAACTTACTTAAGGTTTATTTGTTTGTTTTTACAATGTTTTAGCGCAATGTAATAATTTGAATACATACATTTGACGTATATGCCTTATTTTGAATGTTCCTATTGTGCAGTGACATGCCGGATATGCGAAGTCATTGTTGTAATTGTCAACAGAAGCCGCTTCCCGAAATCTGAGCTTGCAATTGGCTTGAACCTAATATAAAATTATTTATTATGTAATATATTTTAAGTAAAATGATACTAATCACAAATTTGGTGCGGCGTAAAGGAATGACAAACTTAAATATCTGGTAAAAAGATGATCCCTCGGAAGCATTAAATACAGTGAATTTACATGAAAATTGCAAACTCGGTTTGATTGAGTCTGTACATGAGGAATAATGAGAATGTGCATCATCCCTCACGCCCCCTAGCACCGGCTTGAGCTGAACTCAATTCTCAACACTTTAAAGTGCTGGAGTCAATGATCCCAAAGGACAAAATAGAAAAGTATCAAAACACTTAATGCTTAAATTGTTTATTGCCATTTTCTAAAATTTCTTAGATATTTCCTTTTTGTCGTAGATATGATTTAACCAATTGACAAAATTCTGTTTATTCAATATAGTTCCCACCAATCAAAGCGTTTTCACCAAATTTATTGCTTTATGATTCTGTAAGAAAACAACAAAATTTGCACTTTAAATACACTAACCTTTATGAAACAAGTGTAGCTCTCGCCAAAAACCTCATTCTTAATATCGTTGACTGCAAATATTTCGAGTAAACGATGTCTTAAAAAGGTAAAACTTCCAGATTCGTTATTGCTCGTTATGAAATTCCAACTATACATCTCTGAGAGAGACAAAAAAAATAAGTTTAATTTCTGCAGAACGGCTCTATTTAGATCAATATTGCATTTTTACAACAACAATATTATTTTCCTAAAGTATACATGGTATAGTTTTTCATCATATTTTCCCAAAGCAACATGCCTTAGCAGCAACCAAAATATTTGCATCTTAAAAGATGTTGCTCTGCTGACGTCATACTGTACATTGGACATTATTGTTCATCGTGGCAACTTATTGCTTAATGACTTAAGTTATTTTGTTCGGTTACTTAAAATTACGACAAATTATTCAACAAATAATTACTCTAGTCTTTAATAACATGCAATTCGACCTGATTTAATTGTTTCGGCTTCAATTCAAATAAGGAAAAGGAGGAAGAGGTGTGAAAATGCAAAAAAGTTTACGAAAAACTTAAATTTTGATCAATTTTTAGTCCTACTTTTAATATACAATCATATTTTCCACAAAATATGAGAACCATTGAAATAGCTAAGAAGATAAGCGTATAAATTGAACTGTATTAGTTTGCTGGATGTCCAAAAACATATTATTTTATACAATATTAGATACACACACGGTTACAAACTTCTTATTTATTAAATTACAGGTACAAATAAGGAAAAATAAAAATAAAGTTTAAAACTTTTACTTACCTTCACTTAATTTCCCTGCCCATAGATATTGATCACTGAAGTTTTTGGAAGTTGGAGGATTACGTACACAACCCCTTTCATCACTGTTATCTCTACAGTCATAGTAGCCATCACACGTTAGTCGATGAGGAATACATTTGTAATCATCCGCACAGAGAAATGATTTCTGACACTTGTCTCAAGTAATTAGAAAACAAAGTATTTATTATTTATTTAAAATATATGCATGAAGAAATAAATACAAGAAAGTCATGGTGACCATTTATCGTTCATCGATATACAAGGACTCTAAATGGCTTGCAAGTACGGTATTCATACAATTAATCATTAAAGAAAAACAGATATTTAATTAGAATCTGGGTCAACTGAACACACTTGATAATGCTTATATAGAAGATCCAACAGACTGTTACTAATTATGCTGTGAAGATGATATGCATATATATGCAACGTAACAGCATTATAATATTATCCTGCTTTACTGAAACCAAACTTATTTTCTGTTTATTTTTTGTCTACGAAATATGAAAACATAACAAGAGTAATTACTTCAGATTTATGTTCAACAAAATAAAGCACTGTATCGTCCTTTTATCTAGAGTTTATTGTTCCCTTTATACGGTTCAAAATTATTTTATAGAGAGACTTGACGTATTTTGTATACAAACATTTTGAAATTTATAAGAAAATTGAAACGGAAAAACACTTTTACAAGAATTTGTTTTGTTTTTGTTTTAATTTTTTCGCGCCATTTGACAACAAACATAACTGAAACTCAAAAAACAAGACATTAGTACATGTACAAATTAGAAAGAATGTTCTTAAAATTTGAAGAATTGTATGTTAACAATTTTCTCCAAATTGTATGATATTATTTGTATATTATTCTCTGCAAATTTTAAACTGTCCTCTAAATTTTCCTGTTTCGTTTTATGCAAGTGGAATTAAAATTTCTACAATTTTGTGTACGATATAATATTCAATACTCTTTATTTGTCAATGGTCAAAAAATTAAGATTTTAAAATTACATTTAAAAACATAGAAATACTAACATTTTCCACTATCATTCAATAAAGATTCATAATTGTAATTATTTTAGCTTTTAGATACAAACATTAAATCTCCATCTTCAGTGCTTTGATACTTGTTTGATAAAACCATCTAACTTTGATTTAAAATTGATTTAGACTGTTATACAAAATCAAATACAAACCACAATTTATTTCATCACTATGATCGACACAGTCATATATAGCGTTACATCTTTTCTCAGTTTGAATACACTGTCTATTTTCACAACGAAATTCATTTACGTTGCACACTTGGTATTCTAAAAGGAAACAAAAACCCATTTAATATGCAGAAAAAAGAAACATGTAACAGTTACTACGAATTGTGTGTCAATCTGAGAAATGATAACATAATACTTTGAGTTGCTATATTGGAATATGTTTTGTGCCGTAAAATTAACGCTATAAATGAATAACTTATGCCAATGTATTTTATCACGAAAATATGACGGTTGTTAAAATATAAATGCACCTAAAATGTTACCTTGCTCATTCAAGTATTGCAAACATCACGAGAAATTCAAGACTATTGAATAGAGTAGATTTACATTAATAATGGTACCTACCCCTTGAAATACATTAAGTTTAGCTGTGTTTGTTGCTTACTAAACATTGCCTAATTGTATGTACTTATACCAATTAATGTGCTGAAGATCAAAGTAAAAATCTAAAAGACGGTAACGAATCGTACAATTAGAATAGGTTATTATGATATTTTGGATGAAATATTTACTATTAATTGCAATTGACCTAATGCAGTAACGCCTTTTTGCTAAAATAATTGCTTCTGATGCAAGATAAACCACATACAATATAGCTAGCATGACATCTTACTAGGAGGAGCTCATACAATTCTCAGATGTAATTTGAAATGCATAGATATATATTTCAGATTCCAAATCTGAGCGGGAAAAGACCCACACAAAGTGCGCAAAATGTTGCTTAAAATGTTTGAAATTAACAATGCACGATAAAAATAAAATGTTGTCAATGATGTCAAAACATGGCTCGTTTGATTAATAAAAAGTACAGATTGAGTTTAAAATTGAAAAAAGATATTATGGCCAATTACCAGAACAATCTGATTCTTCTGTCGCATTTTGGAAAGTAGTACAGTTATAATGTTGAATTAATATTTTGTTTGGAAGTCAAACATTACATTTATATACTTTTATGACAAATAACTTCATAATTTGAGCTAATTTCCTCAGGTTACAAGAACGATGGTATGATAAATGCTCCATAGCAATTAAATTAACGTTAAAATACTTATGCTTGCCCTCTCTAGAGTAGTAAAAATGTAATCGCTTTTGGGGCATAACGTGCCTTTTAATTTCATCAAATCATCGAAACGTTTGTTTAATCGTTGATTGAAATGTTATTGCTTACCACAGAACTCATCCGAACTATCCCCGCAGTCTGATATAAAGTCGCACACCTGACTCAGCTTTACACAATGTCCATCATCACATAAAAACTCATTGTCATCACAAGCTGCACATACATTTTAAAAGTTATTGAAAGATATGTAAATAAGAATGGTACTGTTTCTTTTCTTAAATATGATTTTATAACTATCAAACTGTATACGCCGCAAGGAGACAAAATATGATACAGTTAAACACATGTTTGCGGTACTGAGTGTAACAAAACGAACAACTCATTTTCTTAGCTTAAATGACAGTATATAAATAACACATGGGTTTGTGGGTAACAGTAAAAATATCATCCCGAGGAAAATACTGTTACCCGAGGCGTAGCTCACAAACCCATGTGTTATTTATTTTATTACCCCGAATAAAAATACTGTAATGATCTGAAATTGTCAACTAAATCTAACTGTAACAAAAATAAACCAAGAGTAACAATAACTAAACTGTCCTTACCTTTTAAGTTTGAAGTGTACTTTAGGCCTACTTGAGAAGTTTTCTTTTTCTTTTATTCTTTAAGCAAGTGATGATATATACAAATCATATACATACAATAAGCTATGTTTTATTTAGAAAACAAAACACTAACCAATTTACACGGTTATGATCTGTGAAATCTGATCCTTCTGTTTCCAGAATATTCTTAGCATGGTTTTTGACAAAATAACGATGATATCCTATGTCTGTCCACATTATCTGTAACGTTTCACTGATTAAAATTGTTAAATAATCCTTTGTTGCATGCTTAAATCGTCTGCATGTTCCAGTTTGACACATAATTATTTACATTGCCATTACTTCCGTTGAAAACGGATGCTCATTTTTTGAATATCCAACATAAAAATATTTTTTTACGCGAAAAGCACACCAGGGTGCAAACAACTAAATTTAATGAGTGTCACAGTTACTCCAGAGAAGAAATTGATGTCCTATCGGGGTTTAACGTCGAAAATAAGAATGAATCGAGAAAAAAGGGCGGCCATTTTATTTCATTTTATTTAGAAAATAGACCAGGTGACCAGCTTTTTTACTGTTAAAAAATACTGTTACCTATGTAACAGTACAAAATTCTTAGTCACGTGGTACACTTGCATTAACAGTAAAAATAACTCCCAGAGGCCTATGGGAAATTAGCATTACGAAAAAAGTGAGGGGTAATAATATAATTTATTACCGTTGAATCCTTATCTACAAACAAGATAAACCAAGGAAATCTTATGAAGTTAAATCTTCAGAAAATTCAGTGAAACTCTTAGCAAAATACGAAACAAACACACTATGCAAAAAAAATCAAAGGAAATGGTGAGATTGTGGACAAGTATTTTATTAACAAGATAAAAAATACCAATATTGCTGCGCGAACAATTGATTTCGTCCGAAGCATCAAGACAATCGATGACGTCATCACACTTAGCTAACATGGATATCAACTCTTTGCTCTTTTCACAATGGAAATACGCCCCGGGTTCGAGTCGTCGTGGTAAATTAGAATTTATCATTGTCTTGCCAATCGTAAGATTGTGATCTAAATGAAATAATCTTTTATAGTATTGTCAGACATTTTTACATGTAAGAAATACGGTAAATACAATTATTATACCAGATTATTTCTACATATTTAGTAAAATGATATTACACGAGTTGACAGAATATGTGATTAATGAACATCGATTGTACAAATTATGTTTGAAAAGCCAAGCGTTTCGAGTGATCAGTTATAAAAATATAAAACAAATATTCATGACACAAGTCGTTTAAATTTACCACTGTTTTTCCTAAAATCATAATCATACTTCATGGTTGATTTAGTAATAGAAAGAGCATCGACACACGAGGCTATCTGATTTGTAGCGTGGCTTAGCCCCCGAGTATAAATCAGATTGCCGAGAGTTTTGATGTTCTTTCTCTTTTGTATCATAGTCAAACATAAAAACACGTTCCTTGTTGTCACAATATGAGACCCCAGAACAAAGTATTCATGAACGAGCATCTGAATATGCTGTTTCTGTCGCTTTCCCTTTCTCTGCCGTCACAATAAGAAAACCCCAGCAAAAATGAGCCAATAATGGACATGCTCTGAAGTGCGGGTAACTAAAACCGGCACTCCAGTTAACGCACTGTGCATGTATATTTATGTGATTTAACTCTGACACATTTTCAACAAAAAGGTCCACAAACTATGATACAACATGTAATATAACATGTTATCAATGTTAATTTTTCGGCCGTTAGTATCCGACGATATACCAAGATATACGTCATGTTGTATAGTTTAAGAAAAATAGCATTGTTCTCCGGATAATGCCAAAATAATTTAAAGATATTAATTTGTAATAAAGTATTCATATTGCACACATTTGTGATTTATAAACGGACATTGATAAAAAGACATTCCAAATGAATAAATTAATGATTCATTCCATTTTTTTTCTTACTGTATATTTATATGATATTGTTCACATGTTTCCAAATCTTTGTTTTATGTTGTTTGTGTCTTGCAGACCAATAAGGTCAGGTTTATTCAGTGTTTTTATACTTTTCTGGTCGTACGGAATCATTGATTTCAACACTTTTAAGTGTTGAAAATTAAGTATCGCTCAAGCCGGTGCTAGGGGACGTGAGGTATGTTGCACATTGTCATCATCCCTCATGTGCAGACTCAATCATACCGAGTCTGCAATTTTCATGTAATTTTCTTGTAATTAATGCTTCCGTGGGATCATCCTTCTCCTAGAGTTTTCAACTAGTGTTAGTTCATGCAATGTATATTTATTTACTAGTATCATTTTGTGTGTTTATAAATGAAACATAAATAAATTAAATTATTTTCACTAACCTTTAATAATATACTGACATGACAACTCATCCGTGTAGTCTGAGCAGTCGAAATTCCTATCACACCAATTCACCCGAGGTATTGACGATCCATCAATGCATTCTTTGTCAGATATCAACTTTTTTTCAGGCAGATTGGTGTTACCTTTGTCTAAACCAATGGTTTTATTCAATTGAAATAGAAGTATGAAAAAAATATATGTAGCATAATCTATATAATATGAATAATAGTATAATATATAATAATATTTAAAGGACGTACAGTGTAAAGCCAACAATTGTTGTATTTGTTTCAATGAAATACTTGTCAAACATTTATAAATTTTAAACAGAAGCGGTCATACGTGATCGACGTTAATATTTTAACCAAAAAGTGCATTTGATGTGCAATATTATAGGTACGACTGAGAGAAATCAAGTTTTCTGGTCGTTACAAATCTTTTTTTCTCTAAAACGATATTTTTAATTGTAACTTATCAATAAGTATTGAATATATATCTTACATTGCAAAAAGCACGGCTCCAGCAAATATTCAACAGGATCATTAACATAACACCACGGTATATCATTTGAAGTAATATCTGTACACAGAGTCGAATTTTTTAAAGTTGTTTCTGAAGAAGAAAAGTTCTCGTCAAAATCACTTTTAGCTGTGTCAGACAGATTTTTCCAATTTTGACATGTTTTACCAGAGTATGGGGATGCAACAAGGTCTTCTTTCCTATAGACTGTTTTACATTCATCGTCCTTGACACCAGCTGAAAATGCATACAAAATGTATTAATAGAAATATAGTCCACAGTGCAATCAATAAAGTAGTATTCAAACTTAAGATTATCTGATTTGTATGACGTGCGTAGCCTCTGGATAAAAGCCCGATAGCTGAATGTTTTAAATATTTTACTCTTTTGTTACATAGTCTAAACATAATACTTTCTCTGTGGTTATAATGTGTAAGCCCCTGAATCATTCAACCAATCTGCGATTTTCTCGAAACAAGAACTTCTAGTCAAAGTTGCATGCCTCCAGATGAACCATAATACTTCAAGAAAATCAATATTGTGGAAAATTTACTATGATTTTCAGAGAAGTAAAAACATTAAAATTGAAAACATTGAAAAAAGAAGACAACTTCTTAAACTCGAACTCGTGACAGAAAGTTTGGTTTTATGCAATCCCGACGATTTTACCAAGTTCGCAATCGCGAAACTTACCATTCATTGGTTCATATACAGTTTTATTGGGTTTTTAAGACCCCTTTTACATTTTAAAAAGAACATGTTATTAATCAAAGTAATAAAATATACTCTTTGTGTTCATCTTGTCCTCTGAAAACGGTTTCTCACAGATGAAAAATTCGACACGGTTATACAAGCAATCTTCAGTTCCCCAAAGTTCTTCAGTGTTAAAGTACTCGAATAATGTACGAGTACAGTCTCCAGCTGCAGGTTGTTTGCTTTCCCTGCAATGATGAAAAGCAAGAGCTTCTAAAACCATTCATTGTCTCAGAATATGGAAATTATGATACGACTTTGTAAAACGAAATTGCATATTAAAAACAAGTCAAAGGATTAGTCACAAAACCAGGGTTTAAGGCAATTTTTATAGGTTTATCACTTAAGAAATATTAAGAGACCTTGTACACAGAAGGTAGTTATCAAATAACTGAATATATACTATATATCCCGCAACTTTTAAAGATAAAAAGCACACAGCTTCCATTATATGCATTAAAATTACTGTGCATTTTTTTCAGGAAAGAAGATGTAACAACAAATGTTTCTTTGATCATGTATAAGAATGGATAGAAAGGACAAAACTACAAACAGTATAATTTTACATCCAATTTAAAATTTATACGATAGGATGAATGAATTGATCTAGGTTTAAAAACAGGCAAAAGTATTAAAATTTCAAATTGGTAAATGATCCACATTTTTAACTTCATCTTGCAGTCGACAGTAAAATATTTTACACACGGTTTGATATAAGTTTTTATAAGCTCGTTACCAAAAGAGTTGCTATAATAACAATATTTTATTACCAAGCACTGAATGAAGAGTTGTATCTGTTTAACCATTTGAAACTTGTCCGCCATTGTTTGTCTTTAACTCGCCTCAATCCTTAAATAATCAAAATAATGAAACCGTATAATACACATGCAAGGGTACGCGAATAACATTTTCACATCTCTTTTGATTAAGAAAAGAAAAAAAATATCTTAAAAGTTACCAATAACATCACGTTTAGATAAAGGAGAGTTACCAATATGTGCTCCGTAAAGTGTTTGATCATCAGCTTGATGTTCAAACTTTAGCGCAGTCTTCCGCTGAAAATATAACGCACTTCGAAGCAAGTATTGGATGTAAGTCATTTCCTTTCTTGATGTTATAGTCACAAGATGCTCATTGCCCTTACGGCATTTATCATTTGCAATATCCCATGAAACTTTTTCAGAGAATACAGTGTAGCATTTTTTGAAAAGCCTGGAACATGCTAAAATATAAAATAAGTTCATTTATTGTTTCTATAAAACTTTAAGATTGTATTCACAAGGCAATGTTTAACTAAACGTAAATATTAAATATTTTCCACCATTAAAAAGAGAATTGCGAGAGGATAAAAAAACACTTGAAACTTTGAAATTATTTATATATAAACTTTTGCAGTTTTGTCTCAGTCAAGGGAGACAATGATATCTTTAAAATCTAGAATATAGTTTCAGTTACTCCCCTTGGCATGACAGATTTTTAACTTATAAGATTCACTCCTTGGAAAATACTTTTGATATTCTTACTTTTCTATACTGAAAATTAGGGAATTTCTTGAAATATGTAGCAAACACAATACTGATGGTAAAACATGTCCGTAGGTAATGTTCATTGTGCACTTGCTTTATATTTAAGAATATTATAAATATATTTACTTGTTGGTAGTAAGTCCTTCCCTATAGCCACAGTAGTATACTTTTCAAAAGAATGTTCTGATATTTTGTATTGAATACGGAATCCTTCACTTTGCCCGATCCTTTCGCCAATTATACGTGGATACTTCAGAAAATGATGCGGTCGGTAATACAAATGAATTATAGAACCTTTTGATTTGTATGTGTCTGGGGGCAACACTCCCGTACAAAACTCATTCTCACTTCCGACATCTTTGATGGCAAATTTTGATCTGAATGGGCCTATTTCAGTGTTATAAAATATGATTTATCGAACAGAATTGAATAATTATAATTACTTTATTAATTTTATTAGATGAAGTGCAAGCATTTGAAAGAAAATTGAGTTGAAATCAGACCTTTTAGAACTAAAAAACATAGTGCTGATGTTTTAGTTAAACCAAGCTTTAGGACTTAATATAAAAATTATAATAATATAATATTTTATTTAATGTACAGATTTGTTGGAACGTTAGAACATCTCATATGAACGAGATCATTATGTCATGGAGAAACCTCCAATGAGATGAACAAAGAAGTGGAAATGTCATCTCGGTTTCAACGTAGATGGAGATTATTATTGCAATTTAGCACATCTAAATCATTTTCCAATCAGCACGTGTCTCCTTTCGCTGTGGACTACTTCTCGAAAACAAACCAAACTATAATTTACTCAAGAAAATACAAGAAACATTTATAATTCTACAATCATGAATAAACTGCATAAAAGTTGAAAGTAGACAGCTTAACTTTATCAGCGTTTTTAACCTTAATAAGCTACATTTTTGTTCAACCAATATATGCCAATTTTTCATTTTCTTCATCTGGTTCGTTTATAGAAGTTAGAGCTGATTTAATATGCACCAAGAACGCAACTTAGTTACATTGTATTCAGATGAAAATATCATTTTGTGCAAATCATTTTTAATACATTAGTATATCAGTTTAGCCCACATCATAATAACAATGTTACAGTAGCTTTTATTTCACAAACCTCACTGCTTAAATGTCTACTTTATCACTTGTCCTTGGTGATATAATGGCATAAATCTGTATTAATAATTTTTGTTAATAATGCATCTATACATCCTATCTCAAAATGTCAAAGCAATTTGATAAATTACAAAAAATATGCTTAGTCTATAACGGCCAATTCCACTAAGTTATCTAAAACGTTTACTAAAAATATATCATTTGCTAGTTATTCAATTACGTACACAACGATTCAACAACTGAATGTGTTCAGCTATATAATAATTAGTTGGCACATAGTTACCTATAAGATCTATATAAAGTTATGAGTAATAAATATAATATAATGTAATAAATGTATATACCTCTAACGTGTGTATACGATTCTCCTTTAAAAGTTCCAACTGAAACCGACAAAATGACATAAAATGAAAAATAAGATAATATTTACAAGTTATAAAAGCTTTGAAATATCAAGAATTATGTAAGAAATGATGTTAAATATATAACATTTTTTATGCAATTATTTACAATGAACTTTGCAAGAAAAATATAAATACTATGTAATGTTACCATCATGCGGTAAACTTCATTCAGTAGAAATTTGCTGAAAAATTATGCACATTAGCTTCATGTCTATAAACATTGGGATAAAAGCATTTCTGTTATCAGTAAAGGTTTGTGTACTCTATGTCAAAATGAAATTGGGGCGCAGGCCTCAGATATAAAGAAATCAGTGTAGGCTTCCCTTTTTATGTCAATAGAAGTTTAACTTTGACAACATTTATCTTTTCTGCTCAAATTAAAAGGTTGCTTTAACCTAAAACTAGGCATATTTCTACGAAATAAAGCTATTAATGCACTCATACTTTCTTAAGAATTTTACCAAACCGAACGAAAGCCAAGTACTTAAATAAGGTATCCCAATAAAGATCGTCAACATTTCTTGTTCGGAAACTTGCCACAGTCTTACATGTACAATAAAGTACCAGTACACTTTTTGTTGTATTTGTTGTCCTTTAAATGTAACAACCTGGTCCAATATTGCAAAGTTTTGAACAATTTTTCGTTTACGAATGTGTAAAGATATTTCCAAAAGTATTATAAATTTGAATTTACTTGCCGTTAAAATCATTGCTATAACACGGCATGTAGAAATCGACGAAAATTAAGTCAAGGCTTTGATGTTTTCCGGCTTGAATTATAAACTCTTCTTCCTTAAGTTGTTGATCAAGATTCAAATATGAAAGGGATGTCAGGAACATACTTGGTTCATTACATAGTTCTGTTCTTGTTTTAGAAAGTGTATCAAGTGAAAAACAGGCTGGGATTTCTGAAAGGTAATAAATATGACAAACAAATAGTTAGTGAGTTTCTCAGGAAATGTTACAAATGTTTACACTAGTTGCACAATATTAAATTTATTAAATGTTGATTTTTAAGGAAACGGAATCATGTCAGATAAACGTTCGTAATAGCATATGTTTCATAACTGATTGATAGGAACATTTGTTTAACTAAATGATATCATTTGTTCGTTGATATGAGATAAGCAGAATGAAAAGTCAAGACGATTTTATTCGTTTGGATTCTGAAAAAAATGACTTAAATTTTGTTTATGACGATATTACATTACACGATATTACAAGATATTAAAAACAGAAAAGCTGATCATTTAAATATTTCGTTTTCAAGATATACATATGATAGTACAATATACCTTCAGCAGTTACAATTGCCCGGAATTTAATCGTTGGTGACCATATCGTTTTAGAAATTGTTGTTAAAAACAACAGGTTTTTGTTTGTTTCTAAAACAAAAACTTCATCGTTGAGATTCTCGTCAATGATAAATCCTCTGTTCATCTCTTGTGATGTTTTTACAATGAGTGCACTCTAAAATAACATATTATCAGGCTGCAATAAAACCCATGACGTCTTAAAATTCTTTATTTCATTTCACAATTTTTTTTATATTTGTTGACTTTTTACCAAACACCACGCATTTGCTATGTACGTTTGTTTCTTTTGTTTTAATAACATAAGTATAGTCGCGGTAATTTGGTTTTTTGTTTAGAAGTCAAAATAACACCCGTCATAGATTCTACATTTTGCCTCTTTTAGAAAAATTCAGCATGCTCTTAATCATTATAGAATGAACCTAGAAAAATAAACTAACACATGTCTGAGGTCAAATTTGATTTTGAGAATTGTAGTGAAGAAGAATAAAGTTGAGTCAAAGTATCTGATATCAAAGAAAACCGTCAAAATATGTCCTAAAAATTTGGAAATTATAAATAACTTATGAAAAACTGAAGTGGTTGCAGGTATGAGGATTGAAAGGAATAAGAAAAAAAATGAAAACTTACCTCGGATATTGAAACGTTTGTGAAAACAAATTTGACAAACTGTCGGGGTTCAAAACACACAATCCACTGTATAGCAGTGTCCAGTTTTACTGTCAGAGGGTAACTTAGTGACGTTATTATCGAGTCGCTATCTATATACTGTACATTTCCAGAAAACAACCCTCTTGTGATAGATCTCGGAAACGGCACCATATAAACTGTTTGAACAAGAAAACTTGGATGCAATTAGGCCTTAAATATATATGTTAAGGTCACCCTTACCTACCTAAAATTATATCCGACCCTTTTTTATTTTAGATCTGTCAAAATTTTTATTTAAAAATAATGGTGCACATTTTAAGAGTTATTATTGATGTTCTTGTGCTATCCAGGGATATATCCGGGGGTTTCAATGTCAATATCTGACAAGATCCCATAAAGGAGAACAATTTGTACGACGTTCTGGTTCGTCAAAATTTTGGAGATTTTTTTCTGGTTTCACCTGTAATTAAATATAAAGAAGGGCTCTATCCAAACAAGTACACTTATGCAATTATGCCGATACTTACGTACCCTGCTAACAACAACTGTACAAAACAGGTCACGAACATTTCCTCCGCATTTAGATGTTTAGAACTGAAGAAATTTGTTTAAAAATCCGACCTACCCTACCTTTTTCTGGAGAACATATCTTAACAACACATCTTTTGTGCCTTTCTTTGTTAAAGTGACAAACACTTTGGAAACAAAATCCTTGTTAAGCTAGGATATCTACATATACATGTCCGGCTTTTTCGACTATGTACAAACGGTATTGCACGGCTATGGCTTGGAATCAAACATTTATTGATAAACTTAGCTTTTAAAATATCACGAAAACGCAAAAATGAATTCTTAATCATAATATTATCGGACTTCTGATTCTTAATTGTAATCAACACAGAGAGTGAATCTAAATAGTATAATAGCAACTTTCTTCGCGGTTCAAAGATGACTGTACCTGTTTTAGCCGTTCGTGTAAAATTCAATACAATCTTCGAACAAAAAAAGATTCTTTTTCAGTGTAAAAAAGTTCTCATTTTGGGTATGTGGAAAACAACATATTATATTTGTGTAGCTTAAGTAAAAAATATTGAACTTGTTGAATAAAATAATATTACGCACTCTAAGGGCTCGCTTAATATGATTGTATTCATCTTCAGTGTTAAACCTACACTCATTCAATATCTTTAAAAGCGTTGACACAAAATGTAAAATCATCGCAAAAAAGCGTCGTTTCTAAAATTACATGATCAATTCATTTAAAATATAGTCAAATATGGTAATAATGTGTTATAGTAGTAAGCTAAAAAAGTATACAGCGAACAATGCCTGTGTGATATTGAGCACTGAAACTTCGATTTGTCATATTTTTACGAGGCCCGTTGGCCCCGAAGAAGAAATAAAGGATTACGTTTGCTTTTGGGTTATATAAATTTTTTCTGCAGTTTTATACAAGCTCTACCGTTATGAATGTTACTTTCAAAGAAATATAACAACAATTAAATTGTTAAAAAACAGTTAAAAAGTTGATAAATATTTTTCATGATAAAATGCTGACATACCATTATTTTGTAGTTTTGCAAACCACTGACTACCATTCGCAATCTCGGCACTTTTCCAGATTCCAAGTTCACTACACATGTAGTGATAACAAAGTTTATCTTCACTAAAACTGGCAACACTGCAACTGTTTTTTGAGCTACAAAGATTTTTACATTCCTCCACACTTTTATTGACAAGAAACGATGAGTCTCCAGATCGCAAATCTTGTTCAAGAGGCAGCATTTCAGATGAACTTTCGCTGTTTATGTCTGTAATACCTGTTCAACAATATGAATTATGATATATATCTAATGGCATATGTATATGTCAGATGTTCCTTCTTCTTTGTATGTTAACGACTGCTAATGTCTGTTTTTAAAGACTTTTATGCCGGTTAAGAACATAAACATACACATTGATAATATAAATAAATAATAATAACAATTTCTGGTGGAAACCATAGAAATCAATTTTATCATAGTGCTCATGCGTGAAATGGTTTGTCCGGGAAGTTTGTAGGAACTGAGACCCGGCATGCAAGTTATGTCTCAATAAAGTAAAAGTACAATGCAGCAATTGCAGCAATTGCAGCAAGTGAGAAGATCCGCGCAAGAATGCGCTCATTACAGATACCTTACCAAATCATTCCTACGCACATGTAATTTTCTATTTAGATTAAGTACTATTGAACATTAATCCTGATGTCATTTAAATTTGCACAATAATACTTATCGTATGTACTGTCCATGAGAGTGGGCCAGAGTTTAATTTTAAAAAAGGTTTCATTGAAGCCTACCTTGTCAGAAAAATAATTCCAACACAAACAAGACTTACAAGCCTTATAATGTGACATGATAGTAGTCCAACATTGTTCTGTTTGTGTCGCTACTATAGTCAGTGATTTTAAATTACAAAAGATATCAAAGCATGTACATTTCCTTTTTACACTTTAATGCTACTAATTTTCTACAAATATTAAAAACTAATGGTAATAAATAGCCATATGTAAATTCAACATTCCACTCAAAACTATCATAAAACCGATTGCCTTCAAACAAAATATAGAACAGCAATTATTTGGGAAATCAGGGTCGATATTGGCTAAAGAGTCTCGAATAGCGAAAAGTTTTTTATAGTATAATTCTACTAGACCTGTTAACTGTCACACAACGCCAAAATAAAAGCGACATACAAAGTTATGGAAGCCAGAAGTAGGTGTAATGTCAAAAATGCAACCAGGGCCATAAAAAGAAAACCGGAAAGAACCTACAATTTCAAAATGATAATACTATAATGATATAACAATTCGTTAAATGACCTTCTTAAGAAAAATTCTATGAATTTATAAAAAGTGCAATTTATTGTTTGAATATGTTTGCATTTCATTTCCTGCAAAATTCTCCAGTTCGATATTTATCACCATAGCGTGACACGAATGACCGTTTCACTAAACGAAAACTACTTCTATAAATAGATTTTTGGACTGTCACAATGTTAAGGTCATCATTCTATTTACAGCTTTCGAATTTATGTACAGCCATAAAATACATAATAATACACTGTG